GCCAAGATCCAAGAAGATGAACATGCAGAGGAACCGGATACCCAAACAGAAGAACAGGAAATGGCTCAGTTGCCGTCTAACGATGAAGCTAATGCAACTAACGAGGACGCTGCGCCAAGTGACGTGAAGGGCGGCGGACAAGACCTGGATCCAAATCAGACTGAGGAGGCTGATAACGCTGAAAGCAATGCTGCCCAGCGAGAGGATGGGGAAATGGGCGAGAATGCAGCGGACCAGGACGCATCGGCTGGTAAGAAGGGGAGCGTCTCAAAAACTCAGGAGCAACCTTCTCAGACAGAACTTGATGATACCAAGGATTCATCAACCAGTCAACCTTTCAAGGCACTTGGGGATGCTCTGGAGAAGTGGCACAGGCAGCAGCAAGAGATCAAAGAAGCTCGGGAACAAGAGCCACAAGAACAATCGGCAAATGCTGAACCGGAATCAACAATTCGGGAGTTCCAACATCTCCAAAACGACGAGTCTGCTGCAGATGCTCAGGCAATGGGCACCTCAAATGAAGAACAAAAACAGCAGATTGATGAATCGATGGCAATTGACGAGGATGACCAAGCTGCAGACAATAGAATTATTCCAGAAGATGAGATCGAGACGAATGATGTAGATACGGATAAGATGGATATTTCGGAGCCCCAGGACCAGCAAGACCGGCAAGATACGCAGAAAGAAGAAAAGCCTAGCGGAGTATCAACTCACCAAGGTACTTACAATCGAGATACAACACCTCCAGTGAACGGAGAGGAGCCGTTAGAGGAGGTGGAGGAAGAGATCGAAGAGACTTCTACGCAGTTGTCGATAACTCATCTATCAGAGCCAAGCTTGGATCTAAGAGACTTCGACGAGACCATGCAACAATGGACTTCGTTCCAAAGCAAAACCCATTCGCTATCGCTATCTCTGACTTCTCAATTACGCCTCATTCTAACCCCGTCTCAATCGACGAAATTGTCTGGATCTTACCGAACTGGAAAGCGTCTCAATATCAAGCGAATAATTCCTTATATCGCTTCTAGCTACAAGAGGGACAAGATTTGGATGCGCAGGGCCATCCCGACTAAACGCTCTTACCAGATCCTACTCTGTGTCGACGACAGTAAGAGTATGGGCGAGTCCAGCTCCGGCGAACTAGCACTTGAGTCCCTCGTCATGGTCTCACGGGCTCTTACGATGTTGGAAGTGGGTCAGATCGGAGTTCTAGGCTTTGGAGCAAATACTTTCATGGCTCACGAGTTCACCGAGCCGTTTGCTTCTCACGATGCTGGCGCTAAGGTACTTCAGAAGTTCACATTCCAACAGGACTACACCAACATCGAACTCCTCATCAAGCAGACAATCGAGCGTTTCCGGCTCGCACGCGCCCAGAGCACTAGCCGCGGCTCCGAGGATCTGTGGCAACTAGCGCTCATCCTGTCAGACGGACTGACACCGTCAGCGGCTCACGAACATATCCGCGTGCTATTGCGCGAGGCTATGGAAGAGCGTATCATGATTGTGTTTATCATCATGGACGACACTGCATCTGGTAAAGACAAGGATAAGCAGAGCGTCGTCAATCTCAAAAAGGTCCGATTCATGGGTAACGACGAGATCCGCACTGAGTACTACCTCGACACGTTCCCATTCCAGTACTATCTCATCGTGCATAACCTCGAAGATCTCCCTGGCGCGCTGGCGGGGCTGCTGAGGACGTGGTTTGCGGAGGTTAATTCTTAGGTGTAATTGGTTTACTGTGTTATAGCATGGTATCATGCTGGCGTCATTGTTCGTGTTGGGGAGTTCAGGGGTTGGGGAGTCGTGAAAATAAAAAAGGGGTGATTAGTCCACTTGGACTACGTGGTGATAGATGTTTATAGTATATACAGGTACAGAATATAATTAATTGTTCCGTGGATGGCAAGATTATTATGAAAGAATCCTTTGGCATGATTCGTTATACAAGCTACAGATTACCGTTATGCTAAATCAGATGTTAGTTCATCTTGCATTCTCGCTGTATATCCTCGTGATAGGTTCTACCTAATGATTCCAGTAACAGTTATCCTAACTGCCTGACTGGCGCTTAGCCACATTCGTATTATAGCCAACAAGTCACGGCCATGCTGTCCGTGTAACAGTCATTCAGAGACGGCGCTGGAAAAAAAGTAAAGCAGGCTGCATTCAGCCATTGCCACTATACTGAATACCAATATACATTCCAAATCTTAAATACTCTTCGGTAATGAAATGATTGGCTATTATCGATCTGTCAGTTATCACTCTTGATAATGCTCCCTCGGCTCAACGCATTCATACCCGATTGCCTAGTACAACCCACACCAATTCTCCCATATTGAGCTGAGGTTATTCGCCCCCCCTTAAGTTTCGTAGATAGCCACCGCGTTACGTTATTTTGGGGATATTTATTGTCGTATTGTCAACAACCTATCATGGCTAGGAATGCATCAATAATGAACTCAATATCTACAACCCAATCCACCAACTCGAATAGGGTATATGGAATAAAATAACTTGTGAATATGACTGGTACACATGGATTAGCGGGATTGGATTGTATACTATTCATTCCTACGTGAATCAAATTTTGTTTGACATCCTTAGACTGATTAATTTTGTCGCCCTATCAGCGAAAAACTGGGAGGCATATCTGATATTATGTTATCAGTTTCTCTTTTAACGCTGAAAATAATAAAAGGTTCTGAGATTTATTTTCCTCAAGAAAGCTAGATTTATCTCTCTCTACATAGCCCCCTTTGAACTCTTCAGAATATCAATATTGAAACTTCGTCGAATTCTAAGATTCAGATACACTCTCCTAAAATCTTTAAATATGACTATGAAATACGCTTGCCACAACCCCCCTAGGCCTCCCAACGGAAACAAAATTCCCGATCCATATATAACTACATCATCCGTATGGGATCAAGGTACAGAGTTGTCAGAATCAAAAAATATGGAAAAGGAAATGACAGAAGAGGAAAAGAAGAAGCATGCAGTAAAAATGGAGCTGCTAACAAAATGGAAAGAATTGATCGAGTTGGAGAAAGATAGTAACCTTTATCCAGGCCTAAAAGAACTAAGTATGGAAATAGATGACGCTCAAGATTTCGTATATCATGTTGCAGAGAGAAGGAGTAAGAAGCGTCTGTTTGTGTGCTGTGACGGTACACTACAAGATGCGGCAGGCAAATATATTGCACCACAATCCAATGTTGCAAGGCTTGCCAGAAGTGTACACCGAGTTGGTGATGATCCCATCGAAAGTGCTATGATGGGAGGAGTCCCACAACTTGTCTACTGTTCAAGTGGTATAGGGAGTCATTCGGCACTACCCTTAGACGGTCTTTTTGCCGCAGCTACTGGAAAAGGTATGAGATCAAGCTTCCATTCACGAGTACCTGTTTTGAGGTGGCTAATTCCCAGTTAGGGTTCAGCAGTACTATATTAAATGCGTATTGCTTTATTAGCAATAACTACAGCCCATCACTAAGAGATGATATAATTCTTGTTGGATACTCACGCGGTGCCTTTGCGATGCGGTGCTTGGCTCACTTCATCAGCGAAGTTGGCCTACTTCGGCGGAGAGGGCTGGGATTTGTGGGCGTATTCTATGATCTCTGGCTGAGAGATGATAAAGAAGCTCTTGGTAACAAGAAGCGTGACCTCAACCATCTATTCTTCACAGACGTCAAAATTCAAGTGCTTGCCGAATGGGACCCTGTCAACTCATTGGTCTGGTCACCATTTAGAAGCAGCAACCGTCTGATGCGCGAGACAAAGATAGTACCGAAGAAGGTTAAAAACGCATTTGTTGCTATATCCCTTCATGAGAAAAGATGGTCTTTTCGGCCAGTGGTATGGGAATACGGAAGAGCCTACGCAAATGATACGACTGAAAACCAAAAGGTACAGCAATGTGCATTTCTGGGAAGCCATAGCGATATAGGAGGTAACGAGGACGCTGGACTCTCTACGATATCCTTGTTTTGGATGATTGCAAAGATTAAAGAGGTTTCTAAGGCTCGGTTTGACTACAGCATTTTGGAAGGAATATTTATCCCTGAGAAGAGAGTTCAAGGGATACGAAGAATGCTTACCCTTCCATGGGAGAATGCTGACATCGGCTTATCAAACCAAATGGTTTCCAAAGGTGCGTATACCTAACAGTAAGCCTTTTTCTAGAGAAATGCGACTAAAAATTGATAGGGAATGTTAGTAGACCATCTCATTTATGGCTTTTACCCAACTACCTGACCTTGAGACTTTTCTTCAGAGGGAACCGAAGACATTTACTTAGAAAACTGGCAAAGCATCCAGGATCAGGGCAGTCGGAGCAAACAAATCCTAACGAAAAGACGGAGAAAGTGATGAGCCTCGAGTTGTGTCGACTGGATATTCATAAGACAGTAAATACGATGATCAAGCATAGAGCTGGCCATAGTAAACCTGGATCCCTGAGCGGATTTGAGTTTAGGCACGATATACGGCGTTGGACCTTGAAGAAAAACCGAGACTTTGGATTGTATGAGACGAAGCTGATGAAAGAAGAAGAGATATTACTCAAGAAGTGGGCCAAGGGCGTTAGAGACCTCGAGAAGATGGTGGAAAATATTTGGAATATTCCAGGGGACGAGATCGAGGACGAAGATTCTACGCTACAGGGGGATCCGAACGAAGAAGAAAGCATCGAAAGTTGGAAGAAAGCCATCGGGAAGGAAGGCACATCTGGATTGAAGAGACTTGCGCCAGATAGCGGATCCCTTGCTCAGTTCTTAGAAGGGATCCTTCGTCTATCCTAGAGGGGCTATAACTATTTAAGTCAGCCCCCTGTAGACTACATATGATCTGTTGATACCAGATATCCGGTTATATAAGACATCATACTATCTGGAAATGAAGGCTCTAAGTGTGCAATCAACCACAGGATTAGCGAGGGGTTGAAGAGATTCTTGATGAAGTGTGGATGCAGGTGTTTTCCTAAGTCAAACTGCTTTCCGTTTCATAAATCTGTCGAAAAATACCATTATGGCGTTGATACTTTCTAATGAGCAAATCTTGGATATATCTAAGTAGTCTAGCATGAGCATTTATACGAAAATTGAATAGATGGGAGTAATCACTTACAGTGATCTGGTCGGATAATGATTACCGCACCTCGGTTAGGATCTATCCCATACGTTTCATACGCGCGACCGGATGGCGAATTGTATCCATCATCGTCAGAGAAGACTTTGGTGAGGCCTATGCGCGTATTGGTATCTGATAGTTTAATCTCTAAGGTATAAAGAGCGTTGTTTACTTACACTTCATCTTCCACTTGCTTACGATGGGTGTAAAAACAGCAGGGATCTGGTCTGGTTCAACTTCTGTACGTCCTGACGAGAATAGGAGTATAGGGTTAATGACTGCATCGCGGTCGACATCTGGCGGCGTGAAGGCATCGACTACCTGCTGTAGGCCGGATGAAAACTATCCGTACTAGTTAGTACTTTCCTTACCATTTAATGACAGTGTTGAATAGGGGCATATGCGAACATTCCGTAACCGCGACAAAGTCCGAGAATCGCGTATATCCCCGGGAAATACTAATACATGCCACCAGGATTGGGCCGGTAAGAATCGGACCAGTTGCATTACGCGAGCATCAGTGAAGCGGATTACTGGAACACTCGGGAGTGCCATCCCGATAGTTAAGCCAGTGGCCAAGGAAGCTTCACTGGTCTTCGCAGAAACTATTATAGAGTCGTTGTAATTGGTAGCATGACCCGCGGTATACCGAGCAGACAGGAGGAACTTATCGTGGAACTGCTCTGGTGTGATACCATGCTCCTTACGGTATGAAGACGAGAAGAGTTTAGTCCAGGTTCGATCAAACTCGATTAGTTCTGTAGCAGTCTTTTGTCGCTCCGAGACATACGTCTCAAGTAACTCTGGCGTAGCCTGCCCTCGGATGACAGCTGCTAACTTCCAACCGATGTTATAGCCATCTTGTAAACTGACGTTCATCCCCTGTCCCGCTTTGGGAGAGTGAGTGTGGCAGGCGTCGCCGCTTAGGAAGACGCGGTAGTCTTTGTGGAAGTGGTCAGCAAGGCGTTGGCCAATAGAATACGCAGACCACCATGCTGTTTCGGCTACTTCTAGATCGTACGGATGGAGAATTAGCCGGAGCTTTTCATGAAGCTCTTCTAGCGTGACGTCTTTTGCAATTGTACCCTTCAGCTCTATGTAGAAGCGAACTTGCAGGTCTCCTTCTCGAGGTATGATTATCGTGTTACCTGCCCCCGACTGAATCATTGTCTTCTTGCGGATGTCGGGGAAGTTAGTCCGGGGATAAATATCCATCACTCCCCAAACGGAATCGCTCGTATCGCCGACCATCTTAAAGCCAAGTGATTTCCGGATAGCGCTGTGAGCTCCGTCGCTGCCCTGGAATGTGCGTTAGGGGTTATAAGAAACGCTGATGATACAATTGCCTACATAACAGAAAGGGATGATGTCTTACTAGAACATATTTCGTACGGAATTTCCGTTTCGTCCCATCTTTTAATACTGTCACAGTAACGCAATATGCATCGGGATCCCGCGCATTCTCGCTATCAACCTCTACGCTTAAGACCTCGCAACCATACTCGACGCACGACCTTCCTGCCGTACTCTCCATCTCATTCGTGAGCAATTCATTCATCCTAGCCTGGCCGAGGAGAACGTGCGGTAGATGGCTTACACTAGACAACCTATCGGCGGCAAAATGCGTGCGCCTGATTTCGGTGCCACCATCTTCTGGAGCCCAAAATGCCAACTCGGAGGCATGGTAGGCTTCGTTGAGAAGAGTATCAGAAAGCCCGAAGCTCTCGAATATTTCCGTCGTTCGGCACTGAACCCCATCGGCTTGTCCCCTTTTAAGCGGCCCGTCTCGTTGTTCTAGGATCCGGAAACGGATACCACAGCGGGAGAGCCAGACTCCGGCACATAGACCGGCGGAGCCGCCACCACATATGAGTACGTCTACTTGTTCCTCCATAGTCAAAAATGAGAGTGAGTAATCTAATGCGTCTGGATTAATATAATTATATTGCCTATTGATAACGTACTATATATATAGGGATAGAATACATGTATGAACATCAACGGATACAAGACGGAGACAGGACGGACTCCAACCTGCATGAAATGCGGGGGAGACGGCCGTGAGAGCGCAATAGAAGACGGCTCATTTGCCGTGTGAGGGTTATCTTCAGCCCGTAACTATGCCTTACTTAATCCATGATATCTCACCTATCTGTTAGACTGTTGGCGTGTTTATATCTATTAACGAGTTATAGAGTTTCGGGATTCAAATGATAATCTCCTACCTCGGAACTATATACCCTCGTAACCAAGTCGTGTCGCCGAAACTTTACCCCGAAAACTGTTTTATCGCCGTAGCGGCTGGAATTCCGTCGGCGCCACTAATTCTTGGCTTATGCTCAAGCCATCACAAGATGAACCTAGAAAATATGGAAATGGCCTTGTCGTACCTAACTCTAGCTTAAGCTACAGGAGATTATGGTTCTACATCTTGGAAGTATCCCATAGTCCAGTCGTATAAGGTAAAATAAATAATTAATGTAGGAATTACGGATTATATGCAAGATAGATTTATATGATAACTTCTTGGCAATAAAATACTTAATGCCAAGATAATGAGAATTAGCATGTCTGATTACAGGAGTGATTTCAATTGGATGGGCGAAAAAAGTATAGATCAAGTGCACCGAAAGAAATATTTTGATGTGGGAATGAGCTCTTCACCTTTATTTTTAATATGGGTCTTTCGGAATAGAAAGGGACCCACTTAATCCCCGAAGTCCAAGAAAAATCCCGGAAAGGGGGTAGACCGTGCAAACCGGCCAGCCCGGCTTCATCGGTTAATGCAGGTACTAGCCTTAATAAGCCCGGCCAAACGGGATATTAAATTAAAATAGGTGGTGAGTCAGGGGCGATTTTTTTTAGCCTCATCCTCAGTAAGCTGGCGCTGTCGGTGAGGAATAAGAAAAGACGCAAAGTGGATTACGTCGGGCCGTGTTATTTTCGTCACCTAAACGTCACTTTTACATTCTTTATATTTTAACATGTTTTCGTCAACAAATATGATAGTTTATAATAGGAAGCATCGAAGTTGTTGAGGTGATCGAGTCCAAACTTGAACTAGAACTATTCTCTGCTATCTCGTGTATGGTTTAACCCATAATGACAACGACACCTTCAATGTGTACTACCGTTAGAGCAAGTCATCGTTTGCTGACCAAAAGCTCAGTTGTGTTACCAAAGCCTCCCGGAATCGATCATAATCTACAATACATTCCCCGCGGCATACGACAAGCCAGTACGACCACCCAAAATGGCCGTAAAAAAGAGCGAGTGGTGATTCTGGGTTCTGGATGGGCTGGCTATGGCTTCGCTCGCAGTCTCGACCCTAAGAAATATGAGCGTATCATGATTTCTCCTCGATCATACTTCGTCTTTACTCCTTTACTAGCAGGTACTGCGGTCGGCACTTTAGAATTCCGTGCTGTCACAGAACCTGTCAGGAGACTCGGTCTGGATCAGTTTCATCAGGGGTGGGCCGACGATATTGACTTTGCGCGTAAAGTTATCCGCGTAGAGGCTAATACCTCAGACGATATTGCTTCAAGAACCCGGCTGGCTATTAAGCACCGTCCTGGCAATGCCGATAAAGGGGCTTTGTTCGACGTCGAGTATGACAAACTCGTCATTGCCGTTGGTTCGTACAGTCAGACGTTCGGCATTGAGGGTGTGCGAGAGCACGCTAATTTCTTACGGGATATCGGCGACGCTAGGAAAATCCGGATGAAGGTACTGCAGAACTTCGAAAAGGCGGCGCTCCCAATTACATCCGACGAAGATCGGAAGAAGCTACTCCATTTCGCGATTGTGGGGGGTGGTCCAACAGGCATAGAGTATGCCGCCGAGCTCCACGACTTAATACAAGACGACCTAACAAAGACCTACCCGGATCTGATGAAATTTGTCAGTATTACTGTGTACGATGTGGCGCCAAAAGTGCTCCCGATGTTCGACAAGACCCTAGCCGACTATGCTATGGACCGGTTCAACCGCGAGGGTATCAAAGTGAAGACAGAACACCACTTAACACGCGTCAGGCCCGACGAGGACTGTGAGGGTTGTCTGAAACTAAAGATCAAGGAGTGCGGCGAAAAGGAGATCGGTGCTGGCATCGTGGTATGGAGTACAGGGTTGATGCAGAACCCACTTATCCAGAAAATGGAGAGCAAAATCTTCAAAATGCCGGGTTCAGATGTTGATATGCAGCTACAAAAGGACTCGAAGACAGGCGGCATCATCACAGACGCAAACCTCCGCGTGAATATGATACCACATGCTGCCACATCGGACTCGGCTCCTACTCAGGGGCAAAAAGCCGCACTGCTACCCGACGTTTACGGTGTCGGCGATTGTACGGTGATCTCAGGGATGAGCCTACCTGCTACGGCACAAGTTGCTAGCCAGCAAGCAGCGCATCTCGCGAGGAGATTGAACAAGGGCGACGTGGACCAAAAACCCTTCAAGTTCCGCAATTGGGGTACCATGACCTATCTCGGCAGCTGGACGGCTATTCACCAAAGCAGCGCCGACGAGTTAAAGGGCTGGATGGCCTGGGTCCTATGGCGTACCGCGTACCTTACGCGAAGCATGAGCATCAGGAATAAGATCACGGTGCCGTTTTATTGGGCTATGTCGTGGATATTCGGACGGGATATCTCTAGGTTCTAGGAAACCTCTGTGGAGATTAACCCCTTTTTATTCTGTTATTTTTATTTTTATTCCTTTTACCTATTGTACACCCTCATCTCTCCTTGTAACAACATTATAGAAGCATTAGACCTGGGGAGCGGATTTGTTCGGGACTAGCATAGATCTTATGAGTTGTATGATACCAGGCTGTTACCAGTAGCACGCATATTTGGTCTAGATTGGGGCGGAGGTTTATTGGGAAACGAAGGTAGCGGGTGAAACATCGAGATCCATTCAATATACATCTATGAAACCTATTATACCTCAACTTTTGGGAGATTGATATGTAAATGAAGATAGATATATGGTAGTAATGATCGACTAGCTATCTGATGAATACTTCTTAAACGAATGTGAGCAAATATACCACAAGAATTATCGAGGCAAATAGAAACGTGAAGTCATTCTAGTTCTTGGAGCCTTCCATATCCCCGTACAGTATCCAACTACTTGTCCATGTCCTATACAAGAGATGAATCGGTTATGAGTAGGAAAATCCTATTAGAAAGTAGTACACTTTCCGGACCGGCCCCTCCATACTGATAATAGATATTCCAACCATCAGAATCAAATTCATTGTCTCAAAAATATCAGCAGCACTTTTCCCCAACCACTTTCGTATGATTCATATTCTCCAAGTCCTATTACTAGTTGTCTTTGGATGAACGCTTGGTTTCAGTTTGTGGTTGGTCAAGATCATCTGCTGCCTGCCCTAGACTATCAGCCTGTAAACTAAAGAATAGGGCAGTGATGGGTTATTACCGGACGCTTGGGGTGTTTCGTTAATGGCTCTGGGGTGATGCTCTCCGGCATCGCGATTTTCATAGGAAAGAACTTTTTAAGTTTCCGGTGTATAATGACATCTGCGTTCTTTGGGCTTTGGAAAATACTCTGATTGAGAGCGACAACATTAAGCATATTATCGGCGGTACCGTTAGACTTGGTCATATCAAGTCCTTCAAGGACTGCGGCAAGTTGGGTTAATAATAATTATTATACCGATCAAGGGTATGCTACAAGATTGCGAATTACTTACGATGGTACCAGGGAGAAGGTCCTGCAGTCCTACCAACTAGTCGCTCGCCTGTTAGCGGGTTGTAGAGATCACGGGAAATTGGTTATATAATTCGCATACAAAGCAAGTACCAAAGAATATCGAGGAACTTGATAGAGAACCAACACATAGAAACGTTGCTACCACTGATGTGACAGCCCCTGGAAGCATCTGCCACCGAAGCAAGCCAATATTCTTGCATAAGCTCCGGACTAAGCTTATCTTTGATGAAGTCGAAAGCCTTTTGGAAATCAAGTTGCGTGAGGTTCAGAACGACATTTGTAATACCTGCTTTAGAAGCAGCCTGGCTTGGAGTCACACATTCTCCCGAATAAAACCAACTTGGAGGAGGTATGGCTGAAGACTGCATCATGTATACTGCAGAGTAAAGCTTGATAAAATATTGAGTGGAAGGATAAATCAAGTACGAGGCTCGCATCTGAAAAGTCGAATATAAAAGGTGTAAAAGGCCTGAAGATGCGTGAAAGGTAGTAGAGCACTTATAGCTAGCCATTCACCACGAGGCAAAACATCACTAGATCAGCTGGATGTATCATAACTACGTCAGCGGCTAGGTTCATAGACATACGGACTGGTCTTACCGCGCAAGGAGAGCGTGAATCTTGCTGAGGGCTCGTGCTTCTTCTTCCTTCATATAACCTTCAACATGACACGATAGCTATCAGCTACTCAACACGTTATGTCTCCATAAAAGGATTTATCTAGCATACAATGACTTGATTACCTCAAGTAATCAATACATGCCTAGCCAGTATATATATAATATATGTAAGCTACACTATAAATCCTATGGTAGTATCTCTTGGTGGTTTAGCTTTTCAACTGGGGAGATTGTAGATGAGCTTTTGGAGCGTCGCTACTGGGGACTGAATTCACAAGCTCCAGGAGCATCACTTTCACAGCTGAGAAATTCACAATGCATGAGATAGTATTTATCACCCTCGGGGAAGCCCTATTACGGCTGAGTTGTCATAACTCCAACGTATTAAAAAGTAAAGTGATCGACTAAAGGATTAGGAGGGAGTAGCCTAATTAGGCAATGTAATGAGAGAAAATGGATTATCTAATACAAGCTAGATATCAAATAAGATGGTTGGATCCGTGACAACTTCACATATTTATTATTAGTTATCTATATCTTAACTTAAGGGGTAGTTGTGTTAGGGATCAGGTCGGTGTTAGTCTTTATCTTGGCAGCTTAACTACCGTTTGGCATTTGCTCGTGGTAAAATGCTAGGATGCTAGAATGCTAGAAGACCAGACATATTACCTTATCAATCCTTATCGTACCAATGTCTACGCTGCGCTACGCTATTTCTATAAAAAAAATTAGCTCTATTCTAAACTAGTGGATAAAAACTATATTATCGACGAATTCTGATTCGTTGGGTTATATTGGCGGGACGCGATAGAGGCGCAAAGTTTCAAACTCGTGCAGCTTTTGGTAATGACTAGCTGATGAACCGTTCGAGAATATTTTTGTAGATATTATATCCCAATCATAGGAATATGACTAGGAAATGTCCTTTACCCGTATGCAAAGTTGCTTAATTTATGAAGTAGGGATATTAGTTGCTAATGTAATATGGTCAGCATCTTATATGCGCTTTTAAACGCACGAACTTACATAATATAGGTACATAGTATCTGTTCCAGGGCGCTTAGAAATTACGTAGTCCTGTACCTAGCCTAACAGGATGTGGGGGGCAACGAAAGGTAAAAGCCGATATACATGTAACTACCTAGGTTTGTCCGTACCTGCAGTTTACAACAACTCAGCCTTGTAAATTTCTTTCCTTGAAACAAGAACTAATTGAATTTGGGATTTCTTACGAGATTTTAAAATTTCTTTGAAACAGGTACCTACCTTAAGTCAAGGTTAGATACACCGGTTGTTGCGCATTCACTTCTAGTGTTCTTATCCAAAGGGTCCAAAGGGTCCAAAGTCCAAGGTTCCTCAAAAACTGCCCCGCCAAATATTTTCCTACTTCAAGAACCAACCCACTTTACCTCTACAGCCATAATCTCTGCAAAGAAAATACAAGGCTATCTACTTCATTCCGACGACTACATTTCACAATGGCGTCACCTGGTCCGGGTGCCGGTAGCGACGATATCGATTTGTACGGTAAGTTGTCCGCTTGCTTGCATCGTGACTTTATATCCGCAGAATTTGATTGCTGACTAAACAACCTCAGAGCTTCTCGGCGTTGACAAAACTGCAAGCCAAAATGATATAAAGAAGGCTTACCGAAAGGTGAGGAACCCCGCGCCTGCCTTGTTGACTTTGCGCCGTAACATACTGACTAAATTGTCACATTCTAGCTCGCACTCCAACATCACCCCGATAAAGTTCCCGAAGACCAGCGAGTAGAGTCTGAAGCCAAGTTCAAGTCGGTTACTCAAGCCTACGAGATTCTTCGAGATGAGGATAAGCGTGCCTTATACGATAAGCATGGCATGGCAGCCTTTGACCCATCAAGGGGAGGAGGCATGGGTGAAGAAGTAGACATTAACGATATACTCGCTCAGATGTTTGGCATGGGAGTGGGCGGTGGCATGGGAGGTCCCGGAGGAGGACCCAGAAGGCCCAGGCGCGGCGCTGACGAGGAGTCTAAGTACTCTGTCAGCCTAGAGGATCTCTACAAGGGCAAGACTGTCAAATTCGCAGCCAACAAGAACGTCATCTGCGGGACTTGCAAGGGGACTGGCGGCAAAGAGAAGGTGAAGCCCCAACAATGCGATCGCTGCAAGGGACATGGTATGGTAGAGGCCTTCCGACAAGTCGGTCCTGGTCTGGTCACTCGTGAATCGGCTGTATGTGATAGGTGTCAAGGCTCCGGCAACTACTTCAAAGAGAAAGATCGATGCAAGAAGTGCAAAGGCAAGCGGACCGTTCCGGAGACGAAGCCGCTAGAGATTTATATTCCTCGTGGCTCGCGCCAAGGGGAGCGCATCGTGTTGGAGGGCGAGGCTGACCAAAGCCCCGACCAGACCCCTGGCAACCTCGTATTCATCCTTGACGAAGAACCCCATGAGGTATTCAACCGGATCGGTAACGATCTTTCTGCTGACCTAGATATCACTGTTGCCGAGGCCCTATGTGGGTTTTCTCGTGTTGTGGTCCAGCATCTTGATGGTCGAGGTATCAATATCAACCATCCTCGAGGAAAGGTCCTACACCCAGGACAAGTACTTAAGGTGGAAGGAGAGGGAATGCCTGTGAAACGGGGAGATGCCAAAGGTGATTTATACCTTGTCGTTAAGATCGAGTTCCCCGAGGACGGATGGCTCAAGGATGATGCGGCCTACGAATCTCTTCAGAAGCTACTGCCTGGCCCGCCACCGGAGATTAAAGCCGAGGAAATTGATGACGTTCCATACGACGACGATGCGGATATTGATGAGGTATGTCATATTCCATGCATTACGGACACGAGTAGAATATACTGACTTTATATCAGATGGGTGCTAACTCTGGGGATCCGCGATTCGGAGATGGATGGGAGGATGACGATGACGAGGCCGGCGGACAAGCACAATGTGCCCAGCAGTAATGAATTATGAGACATGAGCTCCGATTAGTGAAGACTGGAAACAACGTGAAGGTAGGTTGGGGTTGCGATTCTGCATAGGTATTCCTCCCTAACTCGATTTAGTTGCGTAACCGAGTTATGAAGAGGAGTGGAAATAGGATAGATGGTGGCAAGAAAGATCCTGGTAGGATTTCTTCCTTAGAAGGAGAATTAATGACATATCTCCTTTCGACATTTCTAACGGCAATTCTGAATTCTGGCTAGGTGGAATTTCTTATTAGATAGTCTTCTACCTTAGATACTCAGTAACCTAAGTAGCTTGTATAGACCAGACATCCATTTCTGGATGGTAAATTGCTATCATGGTAATTGGTAGGCCCTGAAATAAAGGCAGTATTATTCAGAGATGATGAGATCTAAGTGAAATTGAGTTGAACTGAAGTGAAAGATAAGCTAAATAAATTGGAATTAATTCTGTATCTGGTGTAGGCTTGAGATTGAATAAAGAGTTGGAACTCTTGAGAAATATGTACCTTATGATGTACCTCACTGCCCAGTCGAATTGGGTACTTGGGTACATAACCTACAAGCCACTTGGGGCTGAAAGCGGGTGAATGATTTAGGTGGCTAGCTCTAGGGCCAAGCCAAGCCAAAACTTTTCGACTCCACTAATTCTACACCAAAGCTGTGGGACCTCTTTTTCAATTATCCACACGTGATAAATTTCACCAACCCTAACAAAACCCTTAGCGCAAAATTCGGCTATTGTGCCCATTGGAAACTTTTGGTCCCTCTACACGTAACGTACCTCAATTTTTGCGGTAGAGACCAGCAGCCCAGCAGCTCATCACCATACATCCACCCATCTCGACACCTACAGGAAATCAGTCAAGGTAAATAAATCTCTGCTACCATTGTGGCTATACTACTTTTTTTTTTGTCAAAGATAATTCTTAGCTAACAATTATTCCTTCAAGATGGTTGCCGCCAAGAAGCACGTCCCGATCGTCAAGAAGCGTATGTTCGACTCTTCCCCCGTCCCGTCACCATTCCTCGATTGATGCGATGCGCTCCGATTATGGATTGAAGCCATGGATTATGAATGATACAATAATGAGGGAGAAATATTGATGGATTTTATTTTATAGGAACCAAGACCTTCAACCGCCACCAGAGCGATCGGTTCAAATGTCTCTCCTCCAAGTGGCGCAAGCCTAAGGGTATTGACAACCGAGTTCGACGACGATTCCGTGGAAACACTGCTATGCCCTCGGTACGTGCGATTCCTCGAAAATATCAATCTATGAATATTTAGATATAGTAATATTAGGCGGGAGGAGTAATATGCTAATATTAATTTTGCGATAGATCGGTTTCGGCTCCAACAAGAAGACCCGTCACCTCACACCCTCCGGCCACAAGGCCTTCCTCGTCAACAACATCAAGGATGTTGAGTTACTCCTGATGCACAACCGCACCTACGCCGCAGAGTACGTCCCTAAAATTTTGCATCGAAAGGTGGTTTCGACCCGGTTACGACTAGGTTAACTAATAATATTATAGGATCGCCCACAACGTCTCGTCAAGAAAGCGAGTCGATATCATTGCACGAGCGAAGCAATTGGGTGTCAAGGTCACCAACGCCAAGGCCAAGGTCACCACGGAAATTTAAGGCGCTGGCGGCTGATGAGGATGACTATGGAATTGGTGTCCGGTTTCTCGTTTTCGGCAGTACTTTGCATGCATGGGAAGGGTTTTGCGCTCTATGGTCTACGGACGGAACATTCGAGCTAGCATGTATTTCGTGCTAGGAAATACAACACGCCTTCTGCGATGACACGTATTTTGGCCTACTTTGACCGATTGCATCCTACGCGACTTCACCTGATCTACGGCGTTGGCCCAATCACGGCCTAACATGACCAGGTATTGACAGGGGCTACAAGTCATACCATGACACGTGTAGAGGCTATATCTGGCATCACTGATTCGATGATGAACATCGTATGAATAAGGCAATAGCATTTTCATATGTCGTGAGGCAGATCCCCAATTTACATAAGTGCACCCATCCAACTCGTGAACTTAGTACTTGAATAAGCCGATAATTTCATAAACTCAATACTTTGAGAGTATCTACAAGATACAGTAGTGTCACTATTACGAAATCGGTATGTATTCCATCAGGTTTCCTCAGTTTCCTCCAATTCCCCGTTATCCTTAGATCGTAAGCCATCATATGGGGCAGGCTAGGTCGATGGTTAGGCTAGAAGGATCAAATCACATTGCCCCCTGGATTCTTTGTGCCTCCATTCTAGATATTTAGCTTAGGCTCAGGTACCATAGTGTTGGAGTGGCCTGAATAAAATTGCTGCAAGGGACGGTTGCTTGGTACTATTGCTTAGAAGAGAGACAAGCTACACCTACACTACTACCCAGACAACCGTTTATACATTTACTACTGCTAGTTGATAACTCGCCTGGCAGGGACATCTTATCATCCATTATTTTATTTCTTCAATATCACTACTGTTTGAATCCTATGTCTACCTCGTAGGACATACGGCACCTGAATACACAAGGGGTTTATTATACTAGCACAAAGGGTTTCAGGCATCCATGTAAGGCCTCTATTCTTCTACCAGTTCTTAAGTTTAGTCAAGCAACAAAGGACGCTTAAAGGGGCTAATACGGTCAGGTAAAACTCAACTACTTTATACAATGTAGTGTTTTAAATCAACATCAGCTGACGGCTTTGTAGGAAGCAAATGTTAATTGTTATGTATAGTTACATGGACTTTGTTTGGTGCACAAGCGCTTTCATGGCCTGCCTTCTATACTACTCCTGAGACATCTATACGTCTTATATGTGATGGCCTTTCTCCAGTGTACTTTAATATTCATTCACTATGGACACCTTATCTACTGAGCACCATACGGTTCCGACAATTTTCTTACAGACCAAAGATTGCCCCTTAAACATTCAGACGTCTACACATCAGCTCTATTTCCAACATATTCACACCTATCCTGCTATCTGGAGTTAATGGTTTCACCAAGCTAAACAGTCCGATGTTAATGATCGCATCAACTGTACCTATCTTGTCAAGTTCAGCCTAATCATACTGTTAGACACTGTCGTACTAACCTCAGGGGCGAAACCAGCATCCCGAATCACTCTATTGCCCCTTTTACGTCTTCTCTCTCGCCACATCAATTCTCAACTCTCCTAAGTATTGTGATCCAAAGACATAAAGAAGCCTCGATTCTCCCGGATTCTTTTTAGCCTACTATCATCATTCTTACAAGATCACCTTAGCTTACCGACTGTATCTTTGGCTTACAAGCACGACACGAGAACTTACGCGCATTCTTACTTCCTGTCTCGTTCGATATGGCTATTCACTACGGTCGCATCGCCTGCAAGGCAATACTATCCCGATCTGCTGCTGTGATAAGAGCCTCTCACGAAAGGGATGGTCAACTACGAAGCGCTATCATATCTGGTGTCAGCCCGCAGTGCTGCTCAAACCTCGACGTTCCCGAAGAAGGAGTCTATATTGTTTACCAAGATCGAGCTATACAGATTGCTGCTTTGCCATGCGAGAAGAGGAAATGCAATACATCTAACATCTGCCGTTGTGACGCACCTCAGTTCTCTGTTAGGAGATCTCCCTTAAGTCGCCATAACACCAAACGAAGAGTAGTGGCTTGGCCAGCATGGAAGCCCTGTCTGGCCTGCTTGCAGAATTGGCTTCGCCTCTACCAAGCTACCGAAGCAGCAAACCGACTCGAACTACAATTCCTTCGATACCCAAGAACCCTTACGTGGACTAGCTTATATGGCCACCAGGCTTTCCACTACGATGCCGATATAGAGGATGCCAAGCTAGAGGAGGGATCTGCTCGGACCAACTATAATGGGACCTTCAACAGACCTGTCCAGCCAAAGACATATTGCCCGCCCCGTGTACTTGAATGGATGAAAGAGACGTGGAGTGAATTTGTAGACAGTGGACGCTGCAAACCTCGTTCTATTATAACTCCGTCGGATAACGAAGATAGCAGCTACAACGAAAGTATCTTCACCAAAGCACAAGATGGGTCAGAGTCTGACTCAGATTGGGATGACCTCGACATACCCTTGAAACCTTCTGGCATATCTGATAACACGTTGAATGAAGACTATGATCTCATTGATGATCTCATCGAGGAAGAATTTCCAAAGTTGCGGAAGAGCGACACAACTGTCTCAAAAAAGGGAGGCCCGTATTTTTCATCAACAAAGCGCAATAGCCCTGAAGAAGAGAGAGATGATCCAGCACCTATCATTATTCCACCGAAGAACATGACAATGGCGCGAGGTTTCAGGGCAGCAACAGAGCCAGAGAAGCCAAGCCCAGTACAACTAGGCAACGATAGTTCCGTATCAATCACCAACTCTCAAACTATAAAATCACAGACTACTCTAGGTACCAAACGGTCCTATTCAGCTACTTTAGAGTCGGACCAACACAGTTCAACCCCCGCGGAGGACCTGTCTCGTATAAAGCAGCAAAAACGAGAAATCGCCAAACCATCTATCAGAAGCCGCCACCGCTATAGCCCTGTGATTCACCAATCCTCCCCATATATCAAGCATGTCCAACAGAGAAGCATTGTTACTTAATCCTAAAGGGGCTAGTAGTTATACGGCGAAAAGGAAATTGAACCATCTCTATTTGTTGTACTAGTATTGCAGTTATCATACCAGATTGCACAAGCATCTTAATGAGCCCAGGAACTAACAACCACCATTCATTCATTTCTTTGGAATTGTAGCATTTTTTATTGGTTGTATATGGTGCTAATCAATCAACCTGGGGAGGTTTTTGGTTAATAGGCACGGCTATCCCCGGCTCTCATCGGCTCTCCTGAGTTAGCTATTGGTGAATAGAAAGCACTGTACAATAGCATGCTGATGACACCTGCGCATAATGTATGGGTGTCTGGTCCATATACATCAAGACATCTTCATATATCACAAGAAGAGTCTTGGGGTTGTTTATAGTAAATATTTAAAGATAATGTAATGAATTCTGATTTTCCCTAAACCTAGGAACAAAGAACTAACCCCCTTGTCGCAGTAACCTCCTACAAGAAATAACAAAGAATATTAAGGAACTGAGGTTAAACACGATGGACGTTTCAGGGGAAGTTTAATCATTAGGATGCCATTGCATATGAACATAGGTAGACATGTGGGCTGAGAGCAAATCTCAAGCATATAGAAATTTTATTTATTAGCTCGTTAGTTCATGTATTACATGACAGGCAGGAACTCTTGTCCCCTGTATAGTATGGAACATTGATTAATACCTAAACTGTTGTATTGCCGTATCATAACTGCCTTGTTCGTAAGTGAGAAATACGTAGACAAGCTAGGGCCAAGGGTCATATGCAATGATAGACTGGAAAGCGCGATAATTCTTTGAGTACTCCCTACTCTTGCCTTGTCTCAGAGCTGTGAATGATATCAATGCTAAGTCACGGCTTACAAGATATGGCGAATGTGCCTGAGAAAGAAAGCGCCAAGTGCTGAAGGGGTCATGGAGCAACTTAGGGCAAAGCTGTTACGGATTGTTTAGGGCAGTAGAGCCGTAAACTACAGACTTGTGACCTTCCTCTCCTATTAGTGTAGTCAATAGTCATGGCAAGAGCGAAGTCCTTGTCTTTGTATCTCATACTGTAGTACTTCAGGTACGTACTGCCATATTGTCACTGTTACATATAGGTATCTTTCTCTTACAGTCGTTGTTGCTTCTTGTAAGGTGGTTGCTTGGGAATGGGACGTGCATATACCCAGGTACACTGGTTCAAGATACCTGCCGACACCTGTCAGGCGCTAATTCTATTAGCTGAAGGTATGAACTGCTGTTTCCGCCTCAGGTGGAAGTCGTCTCGTGGTGGTCCGAGCAGATATACATACAGATATACATGAACTAGCGCCGATGTGTGCCTTCTATTTGCCATAAAATAGCGCGAGATCCGTGCACTTGCACCTGTGATAGCCTCAACAGTGAGCAGGAGCGACGAAATACATCATCAAGTCACCTAGTAACCGCGCTTAGAATACTGCCGGTTTGAGCAAGATACCGCCTTTGAAAACATCTATTTTTTCTTATAAATATCTGGGCACCCTTCCCCAGTCTGGTCTCTTTCTGTTCCATCATTCTAATTCTTCAATCATACTCTTCAGTCATCTTCAATCAGCTTCAACACTCTTAGTCTATTAACAACTAATAACCCTAACTAATACTTATACCTATACTACACCTATACCCATACCTATTACCCATAACTATTACCCATACATATACTACACCTACACCTACCCTACTTCTACACTACCACCTAATTAACTTGACATACACTTGAGGGCCGACATGCTCTTCGAAGAGTTTGCGTTCAATGTACATTTGCGGCATCATGCAATACAATATATACTTCATACTACAAACAATGAAGTCATCTAATTACCCCTAAAGTAATAGGCATTAAAGGTATGTTCATGCTTATTGAATGACAAAGCAGTTTCCCTCTTCAACTATCCTCTTCATCTACCCTACCCAAGATACTACTTGGCCCTTCAATCCAATTCTTGTTTCTTAACTGACACTCCCGGTGTGGAAT